AAAGGTCTTCACCATCATTTCTGGAGTGGTTGGTTTCTTGCAGAGTTTCAAGTGTTCTGTTTCTCAGCAGCACACAGGTTCCTATTTTGCCTCCCCCTTGCCTGGGTGGAAATCACTGCAGGGGCTGTAATGCTGGCGTGAAACAAAGTGTTCAGTTTCCTACTTATGTGAACAAGAAGAAAATCTGCTTTTAAAAAGTTTGCTGTTTATTAGTGAAGAAGTGTATTTGTACTTGTTGACTAAGAAATGAAGTAGTTTGGGTGCAGAGAAAAATACTTCCCCCTTTTGAGCAGAGATGTAAATTTACTCATGTTGACCAAAGCTCCGTGTATGCTGACATTTAATCTTTTCCACAGTTTTGCTCCCCTGAGCAGTCTTTTTGAAGCTGATTAAATTAATCCTATGAGTAAACTTGGTACTGGAGCTGATCCCAGGTGGCTTTTCCTTTCTGACTGAACATTTACACCCCCAAAATTAGCCTATAAAATCCTTCAGAACACAATTCCAAGAAAAAAAGGGTATTACCTACAGTAGGCATTCTTAAAGTAAATATTCTTCATCATTAGAATAATAATAAGTAAGCTACAAGTAGTCTGAATCTTCTTGCACTTCTAAGAGTTTTACTGCCACATTTTCCTGTACTCTCTACAGTATTTTCTATGGTGTTGTCATTGTGCAAAAGCAACCAGAGGGCTTGACTGTGCAAGAAGCTCCTATCAGTTTGTACCAGGTGCCTCCCTCTACCCTTCTAAACCCATTGCATTTGAGAACAAAATACTTAGCAGAATCGTGGCCTGAACAAACAGAAGGTCCACGTTATTATTTTATATAGATATGCTATAAAATCTCCATGGTGATTCATTCCTATCTCGTTGACTGCTGTAACAACAGGTAAAACATTTCTAGGTTGAATCTTTTTTTAAGTTGAAAAGGTAGCAGTAAGATCAGTGGTGTAGAGCTGGACACACTGCGTGGGCAAGGCTGAGAATAAGAACAACTTTCCCTGTGTGGTCAGGATCCCTAAGGAAAGCCTGTTTTAAAGTCTTGTGTCTCATTTTCTCCTTTTTATTGTACCCTAGAGCTGAATAAATATAGCAGGCTGTGCCCTCAGCTGGAGTACAAAAATGTAAGTGTCAGTTCCTAGGAAGTGATGAGTTCAGTGCAGAAGTGCTGGGCTCCAGGAGTGCACATCAGATAAGATTGTAAATGTGTGTGTGCAGCCCCTATAAATGAATTGTAGTTTCCTCCACTATTTTACATTTTGGTGCTCATTGCTCCAAAATGTTCTATGCACAATAATGTGTATGCTTGAGTAAGTCACTGTGTGCAGAGGTGGCCATCAGCTGGGCAGATGTCTGAATGAGCACTGACAAGAGCCTGATGGCTCTTCTGTCATACTAGCATGCTTTGAAGCTCATGGTTCCCTGGGTAAGAAAGAAATACTCCCTGTGGTCCCTTTCTCTATGTAAGCCTGAACAAGAGGAGGGAGGAACAAGAGATGCTGTGCAAGAATGAGCTCCTTGTTGTCCTCTGCAAAAGATGCAGCATTTCCTGCACATTGCTGTGGTTTTGCAGCATGATGGAATCAGTCAGGCGGAAGCGTGCACTGGAAGGATTAGTCTCTGCTGCCTGGGAGGAGCAGGGAATGACGATGTCAGACAGCTCCATGCAGATAATAGTGGTTGGGTTAAATGCATTCAGTCTATCTCTAGTGAACCCTGTGGAAAGAACGCTGGTGAAATGATGCCAAGTGCCTCGGACTGTTGAGTTCTAACCATTAATAGAAGTGTGGGGATTCCTTAAAGGTTTGGTTCTCAGCTTCTGTGTTTACTTTGTTGTCTTTGTCTTTGTTTTCATTGGAAGTGATCTTGAATGACAACCCACATTCTGAGGGGTTCTAGTTTGAGAGTGGCTCAAACTCCTAACCTAGATCCGGATGCAAGTTTGCTTGGTCACTTTTCATTTACGGTAGCTAACACTGTATGTAGACAATGCTTGGTCCCACTCCTCAATCCTGATCACTTTGCTAATTTTACTTTTTGAATGCTTTTCATATACTGCTGCTGTCAAGCTAAACAAGTCTTTCCTCTGCTGGTTTTGGTTTTGCCTTTTACAGCATTCTTTTGTTTCTTTTCTTGTCCAGACCACTTGTGGTTCTACCTTTGCCTGATGCTGTTGTCCTCATTAAAGTTTCTTGTCATCAGTCTTTGTAAGGCTCCAGTTGGTTGCACTATTTGTCTAAACATAGTGTTTGCTAATTATCTGTAGTGGTCTTACGATCTGTAGCTACTGACATCCAGTATCATAGAATCACAGAATGGTTTGGGTTGGAAAGGACCTTCTTCCTTATATCTAACCTGAACTTCCCATTTCAGTTTAAACCCATTACCCCTTGTCCTGTCACTACAGTCCCTAATGAAGAGTCCCTTCCCAGCATCCTTGTAGCCCCCTTCAGACACTGGAAGGCTGCTCTGAGGTCTCCACGCAGCCTTCTCTTCTCCAAGCTGAACAGCCTCAGCTTTCTCAGCCTGTCTTCATACAGGAGGTGCTGCAGCCCCTGCTCATCCTCTTGGCCTTCTCTGGACTTGCTCCAACAGCTCTGTGTCCTCCTTATGCTGAGGGCACCAGAACTGCACACAATGGTCTAAGTGGGGTCTCGGAGAAGTAGCAGAATAATTAACAGTTCTCAGCAGTTCCCATTTAGGGCTTTAGCTTTTGCTCTTACTTTAGACTTCAGTGCATTTTTGGTTCAAATCATGTAGTGGTCAGACCAGGGACTAAATCAGATGGATATTTTGCCTGTCTGAGACAAATACTTCATCTCCCTGGAATATTTTGGATTTCATATTTTAAATAGCAGTATCTTAATTTGCATAGGTCATATATACTCAATCTGCACATGGTTTTTTTTAAGAAATTACTGGATGCGTAAATTGCACTATTATTCATGCTATTTCTTTGTATACATATTCAAGCCTACAAAAGCTTTCAGCTTTACTTATTCTTTAAAGGGCTTTGAGGCTGGCATTTGAAGTGAAGGGTTTTTTGTTTCCGTGCATGAAACAATTTTCTTAAAAAAAAGAAAAACAATTCCATTCCAAATTGATTTTTTCGAGGAAGTGTGGAGGTTTTTAAAAGAATTTTGTCTGGACAACGATAGAAATTGTCTAAGCGTATTTACTTCATGCATTCTGATTATGTTAAAAATGTTCTTCAGGCATTTTGTGGCAAATTATTTTTGACCTTTATTATATTAAAATATAGTATGAAGTATATTGAATGGAAATGAAATTCTGTAATATGTAGATGAAAGATCTGTTTTATCATAGAATGGTTTGGGTTGTAAAGGACCTTAAGATCATCTAGTTTCAATCCCCCTGCCATTACCTGTTATAATGCACACATATACAGAAAATACTGTGTAAATAATGGGAAGAAAATGATTGAATTTTGGCAAACCAATATGTCATGAGGATCTGCACTCTGAAAGTTTTCATAATTTTTCATTCCATGCAAAGAGGGAAAAAAAAGAAAAGGAAGTTATGGATTTTTCTTCTATTTGTAGCAAATTCATATTCTGATAAGTCAGCATTCTTTATGAAATGGGAAGTTTGTTTTTGATAAACTCTGTGGTCAGCCAAGATTATTTATCATAGATTTACTCTGCTTTACTGCCTAGAGATCTGCTGGAGGAGCAATAGAATCTCATTATTTCATAAATAAATAATATGTAATACATATCTAAATGAGCATTATTCCATTTAATTCAGCGAAACCAGCCCAAATTTATGTCACCAAGATGTCAATATATGAGCTTGAGATTAAACATGGTTTTGGTAACCATTCATCATTTATACTTCCAGCATTCTTGCCATTATCAATGAACTGAGCCAGTGTCACGAAATGAAATGCATTCTATAGTGTGGATTTCAAATACTTACCTGAAAAGGTGTTGGGCAGTGAAATTTCATGAATGATGCTGTAATTTACTGGAAATATGTGGCTTTTAGCTGGTGAGGTACCTCACTATTTATTTTTCTTTGGGTTTTTAATGGGAATTTACAGGCTATCCTGTAATTTTCACTGGTTGTGTGAAGTGTTTTGAGTTGTGAGTAGAAATTGCCCATTGGCAGCGGCAAGGTAGAGTTGGAAGAGCCAAAGGGCATCTGTACCCACTCAAATACTTCAAGCTTATGTCACCTTGTTAAGGCATGCATATTTACGTCACTGTAGATGCTTTTATATTTTTTGATACTGAGCCTTTTGACCTTTGGGAGTGTTGAACTATTCCTTCATTGGCTACGAACCTGGCTTCACACTGAGGGTTTTTGGCAGCTGTGCTCAATACGGACAAAAACGGGCGATCACTGGGAGTGATTATTGCAACATCTGTGCCATTGCTGCAAGCAGTCTGTGCATGTAGCTGCGAGTCTCTGTGTGTGCTACACTTTTCACTCTGTTTTAATACCACTGAAAGGGCTAAGATGTTGTTTGAATTGCCTCGGAGGCCAGCTGAGGAACAGGACTAGAAGGGAAAATAGTGTATGGATGCCTTGCTCCCTGTGTAAAATGTCAACCCATCTTCTTACTCTGCTCCCGGTGATAAATAGCAGAGGCAAATGTCCTACAGACATTAAAGATCTGACCAAAACCTGCTTGAAACCAGGGAGGATTTTTCACAGTCTTCAGGTTGGACGCTGTTTTATAGGTGGTTACTGTTTTGTAAGGTTTTGGTTCAGTGTTTTACATGTGCAGAAAGATCTTCAATGCTTTCTGTGAAAGTAAACTGGTTATAATGTAAAGTTCTAGCTTTGAGTGGAGATTTTCCTTCACTCTGAGGCTGGGGGTGAAGTTAAACAGGGTCATAAAGTTCAGAAGAATACGGTTGAATCCAGCCTCATTTGTTTTAGGGCACACACATGAGTGATTTGCTTAGTTTTGGCTGGGTGATCTGAAACGCTGGTAGAAACTAATGATTCTGTAACTTTTGTTTGTTACAGGCTGCAAACAGTTACCTGAGGGATCAGTGGTTCCATTCTTTGCAGTGGAAGGTAAGTTCTGCGCTTCACTGTATTTCTTGTCTGCCTCTACCTTTTAGCATTACCTATTCCTTCATTATAAGAGCCCAGTATGGATAAAGTCCTTGTCTTTCAGAAACCCTAAATCAGGACATGTATGCAGTTTCAGCTTGTTTATAACATGAATGAAGTGTACAAATTAACTTGTTATGTAGCCCAGCTTATCAACATGATTGGCTTCAGAAGGTAGATAGCCAGTAAGTTCACATTTAAACAGTATAGAGGATGGTTTTGGTTTTGCACTATGAAGTATAATACATTACAGAATGCCCACAGCCCGATCACATGCTCTGGACTCTGGAGATAGTTGGGGGTTTTGTTTGTTTTTCTCTTTTCCTGAGAAACTAGGGAGAAAGGGTGTCTTTGAGAGTTGCTTACTGCAAGTAGGATCAATCTGTTACGCATCAGTCTGTGTTTATGCTTTAGGATGATTTTGGTTTAAAGGCAGTTTTGATTTCAGATGTCTTGAGCCCTTTTTCATTTTCAGTGGGAACAATGGGTTGATTGCCCTCAGTAGGGGAAGTGGATCACAGTGACAACATTGTGTCTCAAAAACAGTGCATTCCTCATTGAGAACTGTAGCTGCTGACCTTTGGATGGAATCTGTATGCATCTTTGATGCAGCTGGAAACAAGTTTTGGCCAGATGTTGCATACGGTTGTCCTCTCCTGTCTTGTGGTGGGAAACACAAGCAGTAGCTTTTCAGCTCAAGACTTGTCCTTGGCAGGGCTCCCGTGGAGTCGGCCAGGTTGGCTGTGTAGCGTATCAAGATTCCAGCCTGCTGACAGCAGCCACATGTGAGATAGAAGTAAATCCCTCCCACCAAACTGGTTTTGTTGTAGGTGTGTTTGATAGTTGCAAAACAGTTGTGTGGCAAAACTACAGCATTGGTGTGCTTTGTATAGCCATCAGCATGTGGCAGGATCGTGCTCTGAGTGAATCCAGGTTCTTATCAGGAAAAGCCAAGTGTCAAGATCTTTTCCAGACTACTGGCATATTCTCCAGCCTGTTACCCTGATTGCCTAAATGAGTGTGGGACCCGAGTGCTGATAGCAGGAGGCTGGGCTGTGGTGTGGCACTTTATTTTGGCCTCTTGACAGTATCATTAACACAATGCCCAGCCAGTCTTGCTTTCTTTGCAACTCCTGAGGATAACAAAGAGCTTAAAGCACGCAGAGACAGTATCTCCATGTGGCCGTTATTTTCCCTCCTGCTTTGGCAGGCAGGGATGATCAGAGAAAGCATAGACAGAAATGATGCTGGAATGTCTTTTTCCGCCTGGGCCCTGGCAAGGATTGTACAATGATGTGCTGATGGCATGTGCCAGCTTTGCTCCTGCAGTGAGGGGAAAATTGGGGTCGGAGGTGCAGATCTGTAAAAAGAGGTAAGGAGTGGTAAAAAAGCAACCTGGCCACACACCCCATCAATTAAACTGTGGAAAGAAAGGAAAAAAGAAAAAGCAAGCCTAGACAGAATGACCTGGCTTGCTCACATGCCTTTCAGTCATGGAGAGGGAGCTTTGCTTTGTGGGAGTTGTTTTTAAAGGAGTATTTCTTAAACTTTCCAATGCTCCTGACCAAGCCGCTCATTTTGGGAAACTCTGAGTAATTCAACTTGTTGCAAAGTAGAATTTATTTTTGCTTCCTTGCTTCCCTCCCCACCCCCATTAAGTTTGTTTCTTAAAAACAAGTGAAACATTATCTTGATTTGAAAGACCTTCCCTTTACCAAGAATAGCAAGTAGCTTTTTCCCATAAGAACAGTGACAGGGTTTAGTCACTGCCCAGGTACTTTACGCTAATGAATTCCTCTTTGCTATAATGGAGATAGTTTTGATGGGTTTTGTTGCTTAACAGTTCAGAGGAAGAGCACCTGGTAGCTTTCTGCTCTTTACTTTGGCTGACATTTGCCAGGTTTAAGTGAGATCACAACAAAACTAAGAGGCAAGATAAGCAGTGTACCTAAGAAGAGGAGCAGGGTGCAGTTATGTGGTCTACCTTAGTGAGGTTTATCGCTTTACTAATACCGTAGCCTATGACTTTAAGAGCCAGGTGCCAAGGTTCATCTCACTCCGTAATTTGTATGGTTTGATGATTAAGCAGGTAGTGAGAGAACCCACAACAAAAAAAACCAGGAAGCCTATTCTTCTGGAATGGGTCATTTACACAAAGCACCAGCTGGCAGGAACATCACCGCAGCTGTATTGTAATTGGGTGGTTGTGCTGATGAATGGTATATTTGTCCAGTGGTCTCACAAATAATAGGTCAAAACATTTCTGTGGGCATGTAAAACACAGATGCAAACTGGTGCAGATAGCTGGAGCAGTGATTCGGGGGAAAACATTCAACAGAGATGCACTTCCTAATTTCATACTTGTGTGGTGGAAGCACTGAGGGTCTCCAGCTGAACCCAGAGCCCCACTGTAGTAGTAGTACAGATGTAGGTGGAGCAGGAGACCTTCACTCCCGCTGCCCTGCCCAAACAAGGCTGGAGGAACCCATTTGACAGATAGCAAACTAATATTGTGAGAGTTCCCAGCAGTGGGAATTGCCTCTCCACAGATCACAGTTGTGGGAGCCGGTTCTTACTCTGTCAGTGTCCTTCTGGCTCCTTTTCCTGTGCTTCAAGCCTTTCGGAGTCAGATGCTGCATATAATCTGAGCTACCTGGAAAATGGCTGGGTGAATAGAAGTGTTGTTAAGTATTTGGGGAAGCATTTAGGTTCAGGCATGTACTGGTTATCCTTTGGTCCTGTATGAAGGTGCTAAGGTCTGTGAGAGAGCTTTTATGTAGTGCAGTTTTAAGGACTAACATGCTGTGGGAATTAAATTTGTCACCCACTACCCTGGAAATATTTTTCTGTTCTAGAGGCAAACACTGAAACAAAAATCAAGAATAATTTCTTTCTACAATCCTGAGAATAATAAAAGAGATGCTACAGATAAACAGAAATAAAAGAAAACCAAGCACATAATTAGCCATGTTTTAGATCCAGCTCCAAGTGGTTTTATGTGTCATCCAACTAACTAGTTGGATGACAGGATGCTTACACAGCTTTTTAGATGTGACTTTCTCCTTGAATGCTGGGCTCATTGAAGAAAACATGGATATAAGGACAGATTGTTCCTTATGTAGTTATTTTCTCTTTGGGTTTTCCATTTAAACTCTCTCATGAAGGGTTACTCATAATTCCTCATTTAATCTGGATATCCGTGTGTATCACAACTCCTCAAGGATTATTGGCCACCTTAGCCAATTTTTAGAAATCCTGATTTCCTTCAGGTTAGGGCTAAGCCAAACTATCATTGTCTAGAGAATAAACAGAGCATGTTAACAACTCCAGATTCTCACGCATAAACAAATCATTAATCCATTGTGTAAGGAATGTTCCTTTCAACCAAGGAGGTTGGATTGAAACCATGATACGTAGTCTTTGGTATTTGGAAGCTGCTAAGTCGTAACAGTTTATCAGTAAAGATAACAACACTTTCTGTGAATATACAAAATGAAGTAACACATGCATTTCATTGCTCTTTATGGATCTAGGCTAGATACACTGGTAACCAACTACTTCTGTAGGGGTTGAATGCAGCTAAGCTTGGCTTTGTGGGGTACTGTGACTAGTCATTTTAGGACACACACAAGAAAATACCTACCTACCCTTCGCATTTCCCCAGAAAACATCTATCTGTGTTGTATCTTGCCATCTTTGGGCTTAGAATGTTCTGTGTTCGTATAGTACTGAGCATATAGACGTACCATTCTCTGCAAAAACTTGGAGCCCTGTTAACACCCCATGCTTAAAATATTAGTCATTACAAGATCCACTTGTAATATAGTACCATGTTGATTGTTGTCAGTCAAAAAGACACCAGGTCTTCTCCAGGGGTGTTTAGGTCTTCTGTTCTGATGCAGAGTACAGGTATTGATTTACATTTTGAGGAAGAGGGAATACACCTAAGGGTTACACAGGGCATGTTGGTTTTTAGCATGCTTGACAGTAAACCCCGAATGCCGCCCTCATCGTGCGATGTGGGTTGCTTGTATTTTCTAGTTAGCTGAATGATGTAGCAATGAAATGTGTCAGTTGACAGCCTTTGGGGGAATGTCCTGAATTGACACAATATGGAAAGAACAGGCCTGATGTAAAGCATGAAGCATGACTCAGGCTGAGCTTTGTGCACCTCTGACCTGGATCTTGAAGAAGGGATTGCCTATACCTTGTGTTTCCTACTGGTGCTGTTAGCCAGCTCTCGACTGTCCCCTAATGAGTAGTGTGGCTTGGTTAGGGGTTTTACCCATCTGTTAGCATGGACGATGCAAATGTGTTAATTGTAGAATTGCTTAGATTGGAAGGGACCTTTGAACACACCTGGTCCTCTCCCCATCCATCTCATCCTCTTCCTCACTCAGTGCAGAGTATACTTTGAAGCTGTACAGGGTTGATAAGAGCCTGTACAGCAGAGCTGTGTGTGAAGCTATGTGTGAAGCCCCAAACTGCGCACAGTATTCATGTGTGGTCACACAAGTGCTGAGCAGAGGGGAGCAGTCACCTCCCTCATCCTGCTGCCTGTGCTCATGCTCTTGCAGCCCAGCATGAATGCATGCCCCTGACTTTCAGTCAATAATCGTATTACCTTTGTTTTAAACTTCCATGTTTTGGTTCCCATGAATTGGGGACCTGGAGCAACGCTGTCATTTGGGATTTGCAAACATTTTGCATTTGAATGCTACAACAAGTAATGTTGGCCTTCATTCAGAAACTTAACTTTGGATTAATACTTCCCTGGTTCTCATAGGGACTGTTGTATCTGTGTCTTCAGGAAATAGATACTTCCATGCACAAGCAGCCCTATTAATTGCAAGGGGATTGGCTGTCATATAAAGTCATACTTGACCTGAATGTCATTATGCTCTCTGGTCTTTACTATGTCCAGGTTATGAATTCTTTGCCTTTTGGAACTGAATATTTTT